TGTTCAGGTCTGAGACTTGTGGACAGTAACCATGTGCCTCAGGCTCCTGTCTCAGGCTGGCCAGGGAGCCCAAGGGCCCAGACGTGGGAGAGAGGCAAGGAGGCAGCTCAGGCCAGGCTGAGCTGGGCCTGCACCGAGGCACAAGTTCAGTGGTGGTTCAGCTGCGAGCCCCCAACAGGCTGCAGAGCAGAGCCTCGCGGGGAGGGTCCAAGCAGCCGTCTGTGGGAACCAGTCATCTCCCACCTCTGTGGTCTGCGTGGGGGAGACCAGTCCCACTCAGATGCCCTGTGCAGTGGGCCAAGTGTGGCCAGGGCTGCCCAGAGCTTAAGGGCAGAGGAGCACCAACCTGGAGACCAGGCTGCCCCTTATGAGGCCATGCTTGGGGGCCAGGCCTGGGGTCGTTCTAGGGTGAAAAAGAAAAGAAATTAACACTAGATAATGGAAGAAAAGAAGGCCCTGAGGAGCCACTGAATCGTCAGGAATTCTGTAGAACTCGGCAGGGGACAAGGTGGAGCCACAGGGACAGTATCCATGGACCTGGCTGCTGGCACCACCACCTCTGAGCACTCACCAAGCAATGCTGATGTCCACAATGACCTCCTGGACTTCTGCCTGGTCATCCCACCACAAGCAATCTCTGACTACCCCCCAACGTCTTCATCACTCCCTTTAGAACTTCCAGGGAGAAGCACCCACTGGACCTGTGTCCAGGGGTTGGGGGAGATGGGCACCTTCCTCTCTGCCCGGGCAGGTGCTGGGAGCTTGCTTCCCTTTCATCTTGGGCTTGGGCTAGCAGAGCAGGCCTGCAGATGTGGGTGGCCAAGCTGTCCAGATGCTCCCTGATTGGCTGTGGGACTGTGCCTGCAAAGGGAAAGGAGTGGTCCCAGCTGTGGTGACAGAAAAGGCCAAGCCCAGGCCAGCTTCGTTCACCTTGGTCTGGACTTACTTAAACGTCTTGCTTCTCTCCTGCTAGTTACCAGCTCTCTGCAGTTTCCACCTGCTTCGAAGGGCTCGTTATGTCTTTATCAGTTTGAAAATCATTCCCAGTCCTAGAGAAAACAGAAAATAATAGACATTAGTTTATCCTGCTCTCTCTTTCCACCAATTTGCTTACATTAAATAAACTAGGACATAGTACCATGCTGAGGAGTGGGAGTCTAAAAAATCATACACAAATTAGAGTATGATTGCTTATATTAGAAAAGGATCATATTAGCATTACATGAGAGTAGCTTTTAGTTGAGGGATGAAATCCAACAGGAAAATGATATTCTCTTTGCCACAAACAGCTGAGAACTGTGCTCAGGTAAACCAAATAAAAATTCAGGATGCCCACTGACATTTGAATTTCAGATAAACAGCAAATCTTTTAAGCATAAGGATATCCTAATTATTGTATAGGATACACTTATGCTAAAAATCATTTGATGTGTACCTGAAATTCAAATGTCAGTGGGCATCCTGAATTTTTTTGTATTTTTTTTTGTGTATCCTATACAATAATTAGGATATCCTTATGCTTAAAAGATTTGCTGTTTATCTGAAATTCAAATGTATCTAGGAATTCTGTATCTCATTTGGCAACCCTGGGTGGGGAAATCTGGAAGGAATTAAATCAATTGTGATACAGAAATGTGCTCTACCGAGAGGCAGGTCCCTCTCCACTCCTCACTCCCAGTCTCCAGAGACAAAGAGCAGCAAACCATGTAGGAACAGAGATTATGCCTACCCACAGTTTTGTGCTCAAATGCTAAATGTGAAAAGCAAAAAATAAAAAAGGAAGGTTAGGTATCTAGATAAATGAGGGAAAAACTCCAGTTGTTCAGTCATTTAAGCAAAATTGAGTGTTTGGCTCTCTCTTTACTGGGTCAACTTTCAGTATGTGACTCTAAAATATTTGTTCAAGAACTTTCACTCTCAGGAACATAGGATTTTGCATCATATCAACACTGTGTTAATCACACCAACCAACATACACTGAGGGCTCAGCACCTGCTAGGAACAATTCTAAGCAATTTGCAGGTGCTAACTCATTTAATTCTTGCAACAGCTCCATGTGGCACTTAGTGGTTTTATCTCTGTTTTATATAGATGGGAAACGGAGGCAGGGAGAGTAAATGCACTGCAGAGCTTGTAGAAGGCCAGGTGATAAAACCAGGAATAAACATGGCGGTCAGTTCCAGAGTCTTGGAGGTGGATATTCCACAAACCAACAAGATTATATTAAATTGAAAATGGTGGACACTGGGTATTCTGGAGTCTGAAGCTTTACGTATGTATTTCTACCACTTCAATAAACTTCTTGGTTTTAACCATGGGGTTAAAGGGCTCGACATCACGGCATCTCCATATGCCTTGGGGAGTGGATAAATTAGATAACTAGATTATTCTCCTCCATGGTTTTCTTCCACTTCTCCTAGATTGACCCAGCTCAGCATGTGAAGTCAACCCTCTCCAGTGCTGGAGGATCATCTGGGATTCTTGCTGTGGCCTAAAAACCTCCAGCCTCCCAGCCCCTGTTGAGTAGATATTTAAGTTCTGTGTTTGTGCATGGATGCTGTCTCCTTGGGCATAAACCTGTCTGTAGAAATTTTCCTACCATAAAACTTTAGTACATGTTCAAATGAAAAATTATGGCCTTTTACAGGATTGCAGTAAGAAATCTTTCCCCTGACGACCTCTGGAACGGAAAGTTCTGTCCTGTGATTTCCCACGGTGATTCCCGGCACCCGGCTTTTTCCATACCAATCAATGCTCAGTGTTAAAGGGTAAAAGTGAAAGAAATGTTTAAAAAAATGAAGTGTAGTGCTTTTATAATGAAAGTTTCCTCAAGTCCCTGCCTTTACTGACTCCCATGCCAAATGAACGCGGGACCCCCGTGGTTTCCGCTTTGTCTTTTCAAAAGTAGATTTTGAGCCTGAACAGGTGGTTGAACTGTCTTACACAGCCTGTGTCAGGACTTCTGGAAACGTCACATTGAGACAAGAAATCTTGCTTACCTGAAGTTAGAGAGGGCGAGCGGTGGTGGAGAAAGTTGGGTGCAGATGACTAAGTCTAGCCTCTGAGGGGTGGAATGCCTGAGGGTGGTCTGAGCTAAGGACAAATGGTTTTAAAATATCCCTCACCAGTGGTGACGAGGTTTCACTGCAGCTTTGGTTCACTTTCAACAAACCACACAGACCCATTGTGGATTCCACTAATGTGATGTAGTTAACACCCAGCCAAGAGCACCTCCGCAAGACCAGACCTGCCGAGGGGTGGGTGTGTGCATGCGCACCCCAGAGAGAGGGGTGGGGGAGAGAGAGACCCTGGGATAGGGGTGGGTGTGTGAGAGAGGGAGTGTGAGAGGGAAGGGGGAGAGAGGGAGAGAG